TAACTAATTCTGATGAATCATCTTTATTTAGTCCCTAGAATGATGAGTAATAGACTCCATTTACATCCCTGCAGAGCCCCATTGTTGACTATGGTACTGTTCAGGTCAGATAACTGCATCTAACTGTTAACTTTTGATTTTTAGGTTGCCACCTAGACACTGCACACACTGTGTTGTACGTGGAAAACCTAAGAACATGACAGGGATATATGACTCCTAAGAGGTCTACTGGCAGGTGAAATGACAAGTATGCCTACTTTGTAGGGTGTGCCAGGTTTTTCTAAAACAACCAAGAGAACCAATTACTTGTTTTAGGGGAAATTCCAGGTGTACTATAAGAGTTCAAAATGGACCTAAGAAAGAATTGTGTGAGGCTAGTGTTTGTAGCTCAGCAGTAAAGCATTTGCTTACTTAGTGTTCAGGAAACTCTGGTTTGATCTCCTGTACCACAAAGAAAAACAAAACAAAGTGAACAAAACTAAACAAAATTATGTGAGAGCAGGTTTTCAAATCTTTGTTGCTGTTGACTTGATTCATGGTTTTCCTGTGATGCTGGACTCCACAGCTTTATACAGGAATTGAAGGGACCGCCTTCTGGTGAAATTATGAAACTGCGAGCTTTACACAATAGCTGATTGATCATTAAAAACTAAGTCTCCCACGTAATGTGCATCCTTTAAGTCCCTCAGTCTCACCTTTCTGCTCATTCTGTGATAAACTTGACAGCCAAAGGAAACACACAGTCCTGCAGTCACAACTTGGGAGCGCTTGACGAGATGGTAACAGCATCCTGAGCTCCCACGTGTGTTCTGCTCAGACTGAGCCAGAGTGGAGGGTGGAAGAAGAAAAGGCTGGAGCTCAGAATTACATGTTGCACCTTGTTAAGGAAACAGAAACCTCAGAAGGAGCAGGCATTATCCTGGGTTTCTTTTCTCAGACTGGAGAAGCTCAGTAGTGAGGCGGCTCACTCTGCCTCCCAGACTGGTCACTGTGCTGGCCTTTCTTCCCTTGCTGAGGTGTTTATTCAGTCCTTGGGAGTAAGGGTCTTTCTGTGGTGTTCTCTGGTCCAACTCTGCAGGGTTATGTCTCTAAAATCTAGAGGAAGTCAATGAAATAAAATTGGATGCATCTTTCCAGTGGAGGATGATCTGTCCACAGAGAATTTAGCATGGGAAAAATTTAACTCTTTAACCTAACTCTGTAAAGTGACCGCAGAGACCCTGGCACTTGGAATTGAAGGACAGCACTATCAATAGGAATTGATCTCTGGCTTTATTTTCTCTTGATCTTCTAGAAATCTGTCTCCTTCCAGAAGCAAATCTGACTTGGGAAGGATGGCTCAGAGAGGTAGAGGCAAGTGTGTGTGCTGGCTGCTGTGGATGCTCACTTAACCCTTTCTTTTCCCATTACACATGGACTAACCAGGCAGGAAGACATGGAAGAAACACTGCCCTGTTTCTTTAGGCTACAAATCAGACAGTATTAGGTGTTCAAAGGAAATATGGAGCATAGAAGAGTGCCATCCATATTGCAGGATTGGCATCAGTAAGGAACCCTGTTCATTATCAGAAGTCTAAGTTATCTAGGTTGACTTGGAAGCTACAATTAATTATGTGGGTAAACAATTTAATAACTGTGGATGCTATCATACCGGATGGACCGCTAAACTCATTGTTGTTCCTTATTCCCAGACTCTGTTCTGCTGGTCTAACTTATTTGGATCCTTCAAATCTTTCATGTGTTTTTGTTTTGTTTTGTTTCTTCCCTCCCTCATAAATCCATCCCTTTCTCTCAATCCTCATGTAGCCAACTTTAACCTTTCACCACTAAAATGGTTAAAAGTGGCCAGGTGAGGCAGTAACTAACACCTTTAATCCCAGCAGCCAGCTCTCTGAGTTTCAGGCCAGTCTGCTCTACAGAGAGAATTCCAGAAGAGCCAGTTACATGATAAAGGGCCACAGGCTAGGTAAACCAAAATAAAGAAATCAATAAATGTTGTGAAGTGCTTGTGGATATTCCGTGTCAGGGAGCATGCTGGAACTCACCTGAACACACAGTTGCGCTTATGTGTTAGTGAGGAAAGTTTGGTGATTTTTGTTCCCGTTGGCATGAAACGGTTTAGGGCCCTGTAGACACACCTGTACTAATTTGTGATGAAAGGATAACGAGAATCTGGGAAGGTCTTAGCAGCAAGCAGTCTCCGGGAGTCAGAGTGTCCCACTGTTTTATGTCATGAAGTTTGCATTCATGAAGTTTTGTTTTCACTCGCTGTGGTGTTAGGATTGACCCAGGATCTTGTACATGCTAGAAAAATACTCTGCCACCCATCCATACACTCAAACCTGTCCGCATGTAAAGCTTCTTTCTCTTCTTAAATAGTGACTTGTGCATCTTACTTTATTTTTGGGGCTTGTTTGGTGGTGGTTGTTTTCTGTTTTGATTTTAGAGCCCAGCATGGCTTCAAACTCATGATCCTGTTTGGCTCAGCCTCCTGATTGCTAGGAGTACAGGTGTGTACCATCACAGTTTCTCCTGAATTCAGGAGTTGACAATAGGGAGCTATCTTCTTTTTTGTTTTTTGTTTTTTTTTTTTTTTTTTTTTGAGATAGGGTTTCTCTGTAGCCTTGGCTGTCCTAGACTTGCTTTGTAAACCAGGCTGGCCTCAAGCTCACAGACATCCGCCTGCCTCTGCCTCCCTGAGTGTTGGGCTTACAGGCATGGGCTGCCTTGCCCAGCAGGAGCCATCTTGTTAACAAAAGCCTTTTAAATGTTTGACTGAAAATAACCTTTCAGCTCTAAGCAAAATCAAAACCCAGTTTCTTCACTACTCATCACCTGAAATTGCTGTGCCCAGAAAAATCCAGAGGGTTACTGGGAAAAGCTTTCTATGACAGAACTTCTCACATTCCTGAATCCTGATTCTGTAGGTCAGGGTAGGGACTGAGATTTTTGCATTTTGTAGGAAGTTTCCAGATGATGCTGGTAACTGCTCAGCAACTTAAAATGTGCTGAGGTAGCAAGGCTGTAGAGAAGATGAAAAGAGAACTAAGGCTGGCTGTGCAGTTCAGTGAGAGAGCCATTGCCTAGTACACAGTGAGGTCTTTCCTTGGTTCCCAGCACAGCCAACACCCCCTTCCACAAGGTAAAGGTACAATTTCTTATACATGGATGGTCCCTTTGGGCTACCTCTCATTTACTTTTATTTATTCTTGCCAATGCAAATAAAAAAACAACAACCCGGCCGAATTGGCTTTGATCCCCGCCCCTGGGGACAGCTAATTTTGTCAGTGATCCTACTGGAAAATCCCTGCCTCCCTCCTCCCCCAGGATGTGAGTCTCCTACTTGTCCAGACCACCTATGATAAAGGTGTGTATCCATCCTGTGAGTGATAAGAGGCCCTAGCCACTGAGTAACAGGAAACAGAGTCTTTGAGGGTAGGAGGCGTTCCTTTTGGCGGTTTGCCTAGATCCATCTCGTTTGTGTAGTACTTGAACTGCGGGATGGTTTCTGAAGCAAGTCTGTTATTCTACAGTGTAATCAGGATCTGGCAGAAAGTTTATCCTTAGCTTTTAAAATTCACATTAGAAAGCCTTATAATTTGGAGTTCTGGCAGTTGAGTGGCCTGCCTGTGACCTGTAAAAGAGCCACAACAGGAATGGAATGCAAATGTGTCTGTTCTGAGGGAGTGTTTGTCCTGATGACTTTCTTTGGAATTTTTACTGGATTCACCTATTCAGTCCTGCAGATTCTTTGGTAGACTAGTTGCTGACTAACATCAGAAAAGTAAGTAGTTTGTGAGACAGCTTCACACTATAGCCTGAACTCACAGCCATCCATTTACTTAAAGCCCCAGATGCTGGGATTATACCCAGCCTGGTCTTGGATAGGCAAGTTTTAAAAGTGTCTTGTTTCTGAGAGTACATCCTATGCTAGAATGCTTCCCATCATCTGCCTGGGAAACTTTACTGTGGAATTCCCCTTACAGAATGGATTGAAAGAGTGGCTGTTAGCTTCTTGAGATCTGTCTCTGTACATGCTCAAAACATCGGTGAGGTCAGGCTGACAAGGAAGAGCAGATAAATGGGCCTGGAAGTGCTTTTCCAACTTCAGGCTGAGTCATACTCCGGGGGTTGGGCGGGGGGGGGGGGGGTTGTTTAAATGCCCTTATTAGGTTGCTGGGCTCTGTCCCTCAGTTTCTGTTTCTGTAAGAGACTACCAGGTAGTTCACTGTCCTACCTACAGCTTGAACTGCAGGTACCTATCAGTGATAGCTAGAGCGTTGGGTACGTGCTTGTGGTTGTTCCTGTAGTATTGTTGGACATTTACCAGCAGTACTTCCTGAGTACTTACAGACTTGGCATTTTGTTGTTGTTTTTAAATACTGAGGGCCAGCCGGGTACAGCGGTGCACACTGAGTATGCAGTACTGAGGGAGGCAGAGGCAGGCACATCTCTGTGAGTTCAAGGCCAGCCTGGTCTACAGAGTGAGTCCAGGACAGCCAAGGCTACACAGAGAAGCCCTGTCTCAAAAATAAATAAATGAATGAATGAATGAATGAGTGAATAAATAAATAAATAAATAAAATAAAATAAAAAAATAAAAATACCGAGGCCCAGGGTCTAAACAAGTATTCTAGTATACTCCCTGTAAGTCCTCTTGTTTTGTACCAGGAATCAGTGGAGTCTCAGGCTTCTAAAGGAAGGACATGTGGAAACAGAATGGAAGCAGCTGGGAAACTAGCTTCCCAGTCACCTTTCCACTGTGAGTCTGCTGTAGTATCTGTCCTAAAGCTAAATTTTAAGCATGGAGTGAATTTGAGTTTATAACAGCTGCGTCAGGGGAAGGAGAGGCGGGGCTCAGCTTATCTGGCTTTTCCCATTCCTCAGATTCCTTTAGGTGTAGTTTCTCACATGAGTAGCATAAGGTAGTTGATTCTGGTTTGGCTGAGCCAGCACTTCTTTTTTATTGAAGGTATTAATGGGCATTTCTATTGATGCAGCTCTGGAGTGTCCCAGGAGGGGCAGGATTCTCTCCATCTTGCTCTTGGTGACCTGCCCTCTGATGAGGAAATCATCAATAGTTCTGATGAAGATGATGTCAGCTCCCAGTCCAGTAAAGGAGACCCAGGCCAGCTGGAGGATAAGCAGGTAGATTTGCTAATCAGTTATTTCTGCTTTTGTTTTTCTTGGCCTGCCACTGTGCATGGGAATGCTGTTTATCATTAACAACCCTAGTGAGTAAATCTGGAAATACTTTCAAGTTTAAGTTTTATTCCTGGTGTAATATAGCACCTAAAAATGTTATATATACAATTACATATCACTTAATGGTTATTTAGTGGTTTTTGAGAAATTATTTTACTGATATTCACTGGCTTTTTATATATGCATGCATGTATGTATGTGTATATAGACGTATGTTGTTAGTCTGGATTGATAATGAATCTCTCTTATTGATTGTTCTTGCCATGCTACTAATTATTATGTTTCTTTGTTGTGTTTTTTTTGTTTTGTTTTGTTTTGTTTTGTTTTGTTTTATGTGTGGGGTGTTTTGTCTGTCTGAACATCTTGATCTCCTGGACTTTGAATTTGAGTTGTGTGCTGAGGGTTGAATCTGGGTCCTTTGGAAGAACAGCCAGTGCTCTTAAACACTGAGCTAACTCTCCAGCAATTGGGGTTTTTGTTTGTTTGCTTGTTTGTTTGTTTTTGAGACAGTATAACGTAGTCTGGCATGGAATCATAACAATCCTCCTGCCTCAGCCTTCTGAGTCCTGAGATTATAGGTATGAGCCACCACACCCAGGAGAGTTCTTAAATTTCTTGAAAGAAGAGAATTATATGCATTGAGGTTTGATCACATCTTTAAAATTTTTTAAAATAAACTTATTGTGTATTGGGGATGGGGAAGCCTACTTTTGTGCCATAATACATGCGTGGAAGTGCAAGGGTTAGTTCTCTTCTTCTACTATGTGACTTCCAGGTTCAAACTCAGGTGGTCAGGCCTGGCAGCAAGTGTCTTCAACGACTGAGCTATCTCACTGGACTCACAGCTTTTACATGACAGAATAAAGATTGCTGCTTATACTAGTTGTTTCCCATATTGCTGTGGCAAAAAACCTGACAAGACACAGACTTAAGGAAAGAAGGGTTTATTTTGGCTCACAGTTCAAGGGTGCAGTCTCTTATGTCCAGAAAGTTGTAGCAGCAGGAATTGAGGCAGAGTCTAACTAATGTTAGTTTCCAGCTGCTTTCCCCTCAGATTCAGTCTAGGACTCCAACCCACAAAATGGTGCCGATGTCAGTCAACCTGATGGGGATTATCATAGGGTTATTATATTACTGCTGTGTGAAACATGATGACCAAAAGCAACATGGGGAGGGTTTATTTGGTTTACATATCCTGAATCACAGCCCATCAAGGGAAGTGAAGGCAAGAACTCAAAGTTGGAGACAGGAACTGTTGTGGAGGCCATAGAGGAGTGCTGCTTACTGCCTCGCTGTTTGTTATTGGCCTGCTCAGCTGGCTTTCTTATCGCCCAGGGGTGGCCGCATCAAGCCCTAAGTAAAGAGAGTGCCCCACAGGCTTGCCCTCAGTCCAGCCACATGGAGGCTTTTCTCCATTGAGGTTCCCACCTCAGATGACTCCAGCTTTGTCAAGTTGACATAAAACTAACCAGAACAGGGGGAGTCCTTCATCAGTGTTGCCTGAAGTCTCCTGTGTTATTCTAGAGCCTGTCAAGTTGTCAGTGAGTTTATTAACTATTTCGCTGTTACTAATATAGCCATCATTTTCTTAAAACAATCCAGTGTGTGTGTGTGTGTGTGTGTGTGTGTGTGTGTGTGTGTGTGTGTGTTTGGGAGACATGATTTGCCACGTTTATAAAGTTTTAGGATGTGCGATAGGGAAATTCATTGTACTGTTTTTAGCTTATTACAAACATCTATATGTTTCATTTGAAATCACATTTATTTGAATAAGGATATTATGAAAGGGAGAAAATGAGCATAGCAACAATGTCCCCATGATACATTGGAGTATTACAGAATAGAATTTTAAAGGACTCTTGCAACATAGTAAGCCAAGGAGAAAACGCTTGTCACTTGACTCCTTGTTATAATTTACTAATTTATTTTGCTTCCTGCTTAACATACTGTTGCTCTGTTTAAATTTGCTTTCATCTTTAAAAGAGTAGCACAGTGTGGTTATCTGAAATGGAGTCCCAAGGCTGGAGAGTTGGCTCAGCAGTTAAGAGCACTTTTATAGAGGTTCTGGATTCAATTCCCAGCACCCTCATAATGGCTCACAAGTGTCGGTAACTCCAGTTCTAAGGATCTGACACCCTTTTCTGATCTTGCATGTGGTGCACATACATATATGCAGGCAAAACACATAAACACATAAAATAATAAAATGATTAAACATAAAAATATGGGTTACCAGCTATGATTTGGATAAGTTGAGGCTAATTACTTAATCTTTTGGGTTTAAAGAATGCCACTTTGAAACTAAAAGCAAAATATTACTTATAAATGATACAATATGTGAAAAAAATTAGAATATTCTCCAGTATGGTATTCAAGCTCAGAGGTGATTTGTTTTTTGATAAGAATTTCTGAACTAGGTGTGTTAGCACACATTTGTAATTCTAGCAGTTGGGAAGCTGAAGCAAGAAGATTGCATGAGTTCAAGACTATCTGGGGTTAAATATTAAGTTCCAGATTAGCCTGGGCTATAGAGTAAGACATTGCCTCAAAAACAGACACCCCAGACATACACACACACACACACACACACACACACACACACACACACCAGGATTAAGTATCAGATAAGGTTGTTAGAAGTTGTCAATAAAGATTATTTAGGTGGGTGGGTCTAATATTCCTGACAGCTGAGTGACTATTACAGACACACATAGCAGTCTGAGGGGTTGATCCTACAGTCATGGAACTGCCCCTGTGCTGTGCTGTGTTCACACCTCTCATGTTCTGGTTTGCAAGCTTGTTTTCTGGGTTGCTTCCTGGACATAGGTCCTATAGGTCCTATAGTTCCTGGGTAGCATAGTGTGTGTTAGATTAGCAGTGAACATGGCCCAGGCTTTTGTGGTGCTCACATCCCAGTGGAGGAAGAGGGATCAAAATACATAAACAGGAAGAACCTCAGAGTGTTTCCAGGCTACAAAGGGAACAGCAGTGATGTGCTAGAAACTGTAGTGGCTACTTTGGATGAAAGCCTCTGAGAAAGTGATATTTGACTAGAATTTAAATGAGCAAAAAGAGCCAAAGCCTGCAGAACGTTTGAGAAAGAACATTCAAATAGTATTGTGTGAAAGCCGTAATTAAAATCAAGCTTTACTTTCTTTGATGAGTGGCCCGTGCTTTTTCTTTTCCTGACTCATACAGTTGTTTTGTCCTGTTCTTTTTCATTTGAACCTTTTCCAATTCCTCTGGAAGTGGTGTCCTTTGTTATCTCCACATGGCACTGGGGACACTTACTGGTTCATGGTGGAAAGAAAGGCTCTGACCTGTTCCACGATTCTTCCCGACATCATGTTCTGTCACTGCGGGGTTGATTCCCTCATTTTGTGGTCGGTGGAGACACCTAAGGTCCTTTCCTCTCTCTTTGTGCCAGCCTTTCCTTCCTTCCTATCTTTATTTCATAGTTTCATATCCTTTTGTGCCATATTGCTATATCCCTGCTAAATCTGTATCTTTTTAAAAACATTTATTTGTGTGTGTATGTTGTGTGTGTGTGTTGTGTGTGTATACATGCACGACCACAGATTTAAGGAAGTCAGGGATGTTTGTTTGAGTCATTTCTCTCGTCTTCTGTGTGGATATCAGGGTTTAAAATCAGATCATTAGGTTTATGTGGCAAGTACCTTTACCCACTGAGGCATCTCACTGGCTCGCTCTATCATCTATCTATCTGTCTGTCTGTCTGTCTGTCTCTGTCTGTCTATCTGTCTGTCTGGTTTTTCAAGACAGGGTTTCTCTGTATAGCCTTGGTTGTCCTGGACTCACTTTGTAGACCAGGCTGGCCTCAAACTCACAGAGATCAACCTGCCTCTGCCTTTCTGAGTGCTGGTGTGTGCCACCATGCCTGGCCTGATTTATCTTTTTAGCGGGACTACTTTCCAGTTAATTGTGTACACATAACATTTTCTTTCTTCTTCTTTTTCTAACCTTGTACCAGTAGCATCAGTAATATCTCTTCTTTAGACTTCTCAGCTGCTCTGAAGAACTTAACATTGTGTCTCTTCATCTGGAACAGCAGCAGTAGTAGACTCTATTAGCACCCCCTATTTAGACAGCTGTTAACCTGCCTAACCATAGCCTAGTGAACTATTGTGAGTATTTGCTTTCCTAGCCCCTGGAGTGAAATTGTTTGGGTTCCCACATCTCACTAGCTCTGTGATTTTGAATAAATGACTTTAAGTCCTAGTTTCCTTCCCTGAAAAGACAAAGAGTATGGGATTGATCTTACCCTTGTCTCAGTGACTGTTGTGAACAAATGATGACACTACTGAGAACAATGTCTGACACAGAGTGAGTGCACCACAGATTCTTAGTTATTACTGGTTATCTATAGCAAGGGAAATCTTAAACACTTTATAGCAAGCACTCTATGACATTGCCAGTGTTTAAATGAGTAAGGAAGCAGTTTGCTTATATTCAGTGCCCTGTTGTGTTTCAGTGAGGAAGGCTCTGTTTCAGATCCTGCTCTGCTATGCTGGATGACCTTGAACAAATAGTCACTTTTAATCAAGTTTGGCGGCCCCTTCCCAAAATCCCAGCACTTAGGAGGCAAAGGCAGCTTGGTCTACATAGTGAGTTCCAGGCCAGCTAGGACAACATACCTAGACCCCAACTCAAAAGCGACAACAAAAGGATGGATAATAACAAGTATTGTTGAGAGTATGGAGGATTTAAAAGGAGAAATAGTTGCAGTTCTTTAAATGTAGCCCCTGTTTACTACTGTATGGGCTCCTTGTTTCTCTTCCACCCATCTCTGCCCTTATTAGCCCCCTAACAATATATAGGAGAGAAAGAAGGATAGAGGGGAAAGGGGATGAAGGTATCATTGACTATTTCCTGCTGAATAAGAGCGTGGTTTTCCTTGGGGCAAGTTTGATCTTTGCCATTAG